ATGCTGTTGGTTGAACGAATTCACACAATACTCTGAAATAAATGTCAACAAAAGTGCCGAAGACAAATGTATTTGTTAGACAGATTCATTAAGAAATTTCTCTTGGTTTATAGTCCTCTCCTCCCCCAACACACACAGTCAATTTTCACCTTGTTTGGCTAGTTTGTTTCTCCTATGACACGAAGGATCCTGCTTGATATCGTTTAAATAAATTGGACTTCCTTATGCAGATTTCAGCCACAGTGGATCATGATGCTGTAACATATTTTGTTGTAAAGTTGTTAAAAGAAAAAAAAATCAAAGTGATTTTAACCAAATTCCAAAAAACTGATCCTGCTTACATGGAAACTTTGGCCTCCGCAATAAAATTGCTTTACATCTCCAAACCATCTTCATTCCTCATAGTTTACCTCCTAGACACAGCCTACCTGCTACAGACCACCAAGAAATGGACCACGTCACAACCCCAGCTCCAAGGAAGGCCAGGTAGTTTGAATATAAAGTAACAGAATTTTGAGGATGGGTGTGAAGGGGAAGAGAAGGTGGGATATGCAGAGCATATCCAAAGAAGCAGAAGTACACACAATCACAGCCTGGAAACTAAGGTGAAAGAAAACATCTCAAGGCTCCCAACAGACACTTTTATTTTAGGATGTTTGTCTTTGAGGAGGGGCCAAATGAACCCTTCAGGAGTAAGGCTATGCTAGCCAGACCTTTGGCTCAGTGCAAAATCAAAGCTCCAGGGTACACGGGCAGGGGCAGCTTGTGGGGTGGAGGTGCGGGTAGGAAATCCATTCTACGAGAGGACCTGATCTCCACACTTCCCAGTGCATTGTTCCCCAGGAACTAACCCACCAACACCCAGGCTGCTCTTACTCTGCCCTCCCTCTGGTTCCCAGCAGCTCCTCCCTGGCAGGAGTCCAGACAGGTTTTTCTTTTCCCAAACACTGTGTGGTGGGTGACCATGCAAGAATTCTCCTCATGGGTTGGCAGCTTTCAGTTTTAGGAAGAACAGTTGGTTTCTTTTAAATTTTGTTTATAATATACTTAAGTAAAAAAGGGGGATAGAGAGGAAAGGGTGGTTTGCATGGTATTTAGACTTTTATATTTGAGTAATATTTTTTTGTTTCTTCCAAAACTATATCATTTCTTTTTCATGAGGGGACTTCTAGAGAAACACTTAGAAACAAAATAAGATATATTCATGGCACTTTAAGTGATTAGGAAACAAGAGGTTTTCTCCGTGGTTATCCAAGCTTGAGAGTTTCTATTTTCTTGGTGTCCAAACTCTTTTGGCAAGTTTAAGGAAGACGAAAAGCCTTTTTTTTTTCCCCCCCCTGTAATAATACATTCTCAGTTAAAAACACGTGACTGATATATTTATATAACATCATATTTCCCAATCACTTACCTAGATTTTCACTTTTATCAACTGGAATACTTCACCATCTTCCTCCTATTAAATCTAAGTTAGAACTATTAAATAAACATTACTTTAAATGTTTTCATAGAGGCAGGACAATATAATAGTGATTCTTACTACTATGGGAGAAGGGCCAGGTCAGAATAATTTAGAAGGTTTTTTGTTTTTCTTTTTAAATCTTTATGGTCCCTCATCTCCCCCCACATACATTGCCTGCACCATTAAGGTTTGATGCTTTGCTCAAGGGGCACTTGACTGCCTCATTTGAATTTAACCCCCACTACAAATCATCATTACTAAAGCTATTAGTTAAGGAATATGTTCCTTAATTCTTTTGAGGCTGGAGGAGGGGAGGAAACCACCAAAATAAAAGAAAGAGCAGTTTTATAGTCAAACATATTTAGTTTTAGACCCTGGTTCTTGGTAGGAGAGTCAAGAACTAGGAAACATCATGTTTGTTTAACAAACCTTTCACTATGTGATGATGGACAAAGTCCTTATTTTTCCCTGACCCTCAGTTTCCTCATTAGTAAGAATTGGTAAAATAATACACGATTCATAAAATAGTTGTAAAAATTGGATGAAGAAATTCTTTAAAACTCAGAGCACAGAACCTGGAACATGGATAGGTACTTTTAAAACATGACTTCCCTTTGACCTGGGCCTCAAAATAGTCATTTAATCTGTTTAGTACTCTTCCCAAGTGAACACACATAAACAGAAAATTTTTCAAAAGATAACCTTATTGCCATGCAATGCTACACATGATAGAAAAGAATTGCACTCTATAGTTTTCTGAGAGGAAAAAGTCAAAGTCGAAATTTTTAAGTGCTAGAAAGAGAAAAATTGTTCATGGAGGTAATGGTAACTAATGGTTGACCAATGACTGAAAATGAGCTCAAAGAGTAGGACAAAAGAATCTGTAGGTCTGTACATGATTGGTTAAACAAGTCTCATTGTTCTTTGGTCTAGAAAAAATCTTCATTTACATTCAGTGAGTACCTGACTTAGCAAGGTTACTAAGATCATTGCTCCTTCAGAGTATTAGTGTTAGAACAGTTGATGTGAAGTTCCGCATTTAGCAAAACTATAAATCCAAAGTTTTCATTTTACACTCCCCCTCTTTCCATTCAGGAATCCCCTTAGTATGCAGGAGGTGCTCATCCAATTTCTAGACAATGAAACACATGCACCCCAAGTCCAGCTGCTATGAATCAGTGGAATTAATCAACAACTAATAGAACAAAACACTGTCAGCCCAAGTTGGATATTAACTAAGATGAGACCTGTATGAAAGAATACTTACATATTAAGCAGAAATTTCTCTAAAAAATTGTATTTGCTGAATTTCCTTCAGTTCTCCTTATTTGAAAAGAATTTTGGCTGAAAAGTGTTACTTTCTCTAACTCACCAACCCATCACCCTTTCCCAAACATGTGGCTCAGTATAATCTTTCCATAAACCTTTATAATTTGCATATTATATAACTCTTATATTTATCTTCCTTCATAAAAAATTCCAAAATTTATAAAATTCCTTCAGCCTCCTCCCGTCCTCAAGGGGGAATGTTGACTTGAACATATGTCCCCCCTAGAGATGAGCTCTTTGAAATCAGAAAACATATTTTCATCTTTGCATTCCCAGCACCTAACATGATGTCAGTAACAGAATGAAGGCAATTACATTGATGTTGAATGCTGGTAGAAGATTTGGTTGGGTCTTGAGAGAATGGAACTTGTTTGGAATAATCAGTGTTGAAATGGAAAAGAAAGCTAATTAGGAGCAAGTCACTGAGCAGTAATAGTTGATGTTTGAGATGACTCTTAGATTTTCTCCCTAGGATTTCTATGTAAATTGTAGAAAAATAAAATTGTCATGGGGGGCTTTCTATAAAGAAGAAAAGAAATCATATGATATGTTAATTCTCATTAAATTTTGACTTTGTCTTTTTTTTAACTCTTTAAATATGATTTTTCTGTCAAGATGGACAGTAGACAGACTTGATGTGTTATGAGGTAATTGAAGCATTAATTATACTTTAATACAGATGTCTTATATATATCAAAATCCTCTCAACTTTCTTGAATGATTTATTATGCCTGAAATAAATCTGTGTTCCAGATGAAACTAAGTATAGAAAGAAAAGTTGATGTTAGCACCTTCCCAGTGAGGAGTTAGTGAGAAAAGACAGACAGGTAGGTAAAAAGAAATGCAAGTCCTGAAAGTTCAAGAAACTTTTTGAATAAAATTAATGGTGACACTGTATGGACATAACCAGCTCCTATGGATTTCCACTTCTCATTGATTTGCAGAGTTAAGAATAAAAACCTCGGAGCCAGAGAATCTAGGCTAAAATAATAACTTTGGAAATATGTAATGATGTGACTCTGGGAAAGAAAGAAATCTTTCATACTGTTAGTTCTTACATTCCAGTGTCAATATGAGAACTAAGTGAAGCAATATATTTAAAGTGATATGAGGATTGCATCACACATTTTAAGTCATCATGAAATTTACTTGCTCCAAGAGAAGACAGTCATGGGATTTGAGCACTTAAACCCTTAGTTCCCTTAGCAATCCAAACTACCTATATGTTGTAATACTACCATTTTAAAAGATAGTTTCCAGGTCTTAAGGATCTTCTGTTTGGAAACGACATGTGACTTTCTATCAGCTCCCTTTTGCCAGCACTAGTTCCATAACCTCTTTTAATGTCAAGAGAAGGGATCTAAATATTACAAGTTCACATGGGTATTTAGTGAACAGTGAATGTCTCTTGACACTGCTACCTGATTTTGTATGACATTGGCAAGTTGCTTAATCTTTTCCAATCTCAATTATTTATCTGTTATTTGAAGACTGCAACAAGTGAGGGTTTCACATAGACTTATGGAGGAGGATTGTATTGGCTTCACTCCATACTATTGAAGGAGCTTGTACAGCTTCTGAACTTTCCTCTGCCTCAGATTCTCTCTCTCTCATGTGACAATAATACTTTGGAATTAAATAAGATTTCATTGTTTTAGTACACTTTCTTGGATCAGAATGAGCGTGCAAAAACTGTTAGTTCTCTCCATGATTATTGTGTAATTTTAAAATAATTGATCATGGATGAGTTCAATCGTAACAAGATAATAAAAGTAATATAAAATATATATGACCGTATCTATCTTACTTTATAAAAGCTCTCAATATTCTTAAAATATTTGTTTGTTCTCTGGCACTGAGATTTGTTATTTGAACCATATACTGAGTTTCTGTATTTTATTGTGGCCTTTTCTTTAAGAGTTAAAGTATTCTTAACCTAGTAAGTGCACAAAAAAATATTTGCTCACGTACTGCCTGGCAACAAAATAAGGCTGTTGGTTATGACAAAATTTGGAGACAATAAAGCTCTCTGTACTTTTACTGAGTTTAATTGTATCTGGACAGCCAATGAAATGACAGACTGAGGTGTAAAATCTGTGTTCAGGAAGTTAGATAATACTCTGTGATGGTGCCAAATCCCGGGTATAGGTGTCAGCAGCTGAAATTGTACTTAGTGTGTTGCCAAGTCAAAAGAGCAGAAGGAAGCGTCATGGGAAGAAAGATTCTTTTTCTTCTGATGGTGGGGGTCTTTGTCGCATACTATATTTATATACCTCTCCCAGATAATATTGAAGAGCCATGGAAACTACTGTGTGTGACCACATGTATGAAAACTGTAACAGATTTGGTAAGTATAGAATTGTATTGACTCTGAATATTTAATATTTTAAGCAGGAGAATATAATTTTTGTATTATTATTTTAAAATTTTTACTGTCTTTGAAATTTTGTTCTTAAAGCTTGCTTGCAGATGTTGAAAGCTTTTTTTAAAAAAATATTTTAACTATTCCTTAATGCAGACCCCTAACAGATTGAGTATGGAGGAAGTAGTCAAGTAGCTTTAATTTCAAATATTAAAAAATAAAACATAATCTTTTAAATATTAAAAGACAAGAAGAAAAGTAAAAAGTCTTTTTCTGAGTTTCATGGCATGAATGTTGCCACAATGAAGCACTTTTTTTTTTTTAAAGTAAGAACTTCAGAGATGGTAGGATTGAACAACACTGTGATGAATTACAGAATTTTTTGCAATAATCTTGAATTCAGACATAAAAATGTATTCATGTTGAAATATTTTTAAACAAGTCAGCTGGTAAAAACCCAAGGGAAACTGGATGCACCCGATTTCCAGTTGTAAAAGGGTAAACTACTAAGGTGATAGGGCAACTGATTGACTGGCTGTCCCACTGTGTCCACGTTGTCTCTCAAAGACCTGTGCTTTATTCATAGTTTTGTTTTCTTTTATTATTTAGATTGATTATATGTGTATAAGTACTTACATATACATATTGAAATACACATACGGTCCTCTTTGTATGTCTCTAAGATGATGTCACTTCTCTCCTAGTACTTTTTAATCTTTTCTGAATTTTTCATTCCTTTTGTTTTTTCTCATTTCTATCATATACAATACCTTGGGTTTCTTTGAATTTGCTGTTTATTTTTGAAATTATTTCTCTTTTTTTTTAATATTCCTTTTCTAATTTCTACCAGTACCAGTTTTCGGTCACTCCTTCCTTTTGAGTAGTGATCACCTCCAGATATCTGTCTGTATCTTCCATGAATATATGCATTTCTCCTTTCAGATATTTGTTGTGTTATTTTTAAAATCCATTCTGCAATATTGTGTAATATATTTCACCCATTTTGCAGCAACTTGTTTCTAATCTGTTTTCTTCACTTACTTCATGTGTTGGAAACTGTTATTATTTTTCTTATAGTTCCTAGAACATTGCATGAATATCATATATCAACTTTTGTATTATTTCTATTTGACTGAATGGGTTTTCCTGGACAAACTATTACGAGAATGTCCTGAGGAATAGAGGTGGGTCAATATATTTTTTTTTTCTTTCAGTTTTTGTGCTAAGTCACAAAATTACTACAATTTATACATATATATTTGTACTCTCAAGAATGAGTCTCACCAAAAAAAAAAAAAAGAATTTATTTACTAGATACATCAGATTACCTTATAATATGTCATCTTTCCAAACTTCTGTAAAATCCATCATACATTTATGAAGAAGCCAGTTTTTTGCCAGTCCTCCTTCCCTTCCCCAAAATGAAAAAAACCAAAAGCTTCCTGCTTGAACTTAATGCCATTGGGTCCTATTTTGTGCTTTGTTGATCAATTTGACCATAAGAGAAAGAACAGTAATTTACACTTTTGTTAATTCAATGCTGAAGATAAATGGAAGTCATGGAATAGCCTGTCAATTTGTAGCGCAGCATTATCTCCTAGAATAGAAATATCAAATATAGTTAACTAAAATGCCAACTCTAATAGATTGCTCAGCATTACCTTGAAAGGACTAGAGGGTTGCATCTAGTCTTGCTAAGAAATAACATTATAGTCAAATAACTTAACACTGTCAGACCCATCCTGGGCTTGGGATTATAACCATTTGTGAAAAGTGTTTTCCACCGCAATAGCAGAATGTAAGGTTTACCTTAGTTGCATTGAAACAATTTTTTTTAGAATATGTAAAAATTGTTTTTCTTAAATCATTATGTTCGATTAGCCAACATATAGTACATCATTAATTTTTGATGTAGTGTTCAACAACTCATTAGTTGTGTATAACACTCAGTGCTCGTCACAATTTGAAGCTTCCTAGGTTTGAGGTAATTTTTAAAAATACTGATTTTATCATCTCTGTTCTTTGCTTACACATGGCCCAGCTTACTTCTTTTCACTACTGTGACTTCAGAGATACACTGGTTGGCCTGTAAAGGGTGAATATATTGAGGAACAATAATCATTTTAGTTTCCAAACTGCCAAATACCTACACTTCCTATGCAAAACCCTAACTTGGGTGCAACCAATCACCTAGGTAATGCTCAGAAATTCTATTTTATGATTTTTCATTTAGGGACTAGATCTCTGTATGACAGATTAAGATATAAGAAATAATTTTGTCCATAAATTTAGGGATATAAACTCCAGAATTGGTTGGAATTTTCCCTCTTTATTATTTGATATTTCAAATTTGCATAAAAAATTCCCTTTAGGGTATAGAGTTTGTATCCACTAAGCTATTGCTCTAATTCATCACAGTTCACTAAAGGAAAGACAATTAAAGAAACTATAAAATCATTGTAATTCAATTCAGAGTCCAGGGACACTGGACATTATTTTTAACACACTGGTAACTTCTTGGTCTTTTGTTATGTATTTATTACACTTCCTAGTAGGATCCAAAAGTTTGTGAGATTATAAAATCATATTACAAAATTTTATACTTAGTACTGTTTACACATGTTACAATTAATATTTTCGTAACTTAATTCTTATTTTTAACTTGTATGACATAGACCATTTTCTATCATTTAAAAAATATTTGAAATAAACAGCCTCATTCTTTGAAGGTAAACTATTTGAGTCCAGTGATTTATGTTTTTAAAGAGGACCTTATATTTTCTGTACTTAACTTTGATTTAAACTAGAGGGCAAACTAAATTAGCATATTTAGATGCAATTACTTCTATGACACCTACTTTTTTTTTAAAGATTGTATTTATTTATTTGAGAGAGAGACAGTGAGAGAGAGCTTGAGAGGGGAGAAGGTCAGAGAGAGAAGCAGACTCCCCGTGGAGCTGGGAGCCTGATAAGGGACTCGATCCCGGGAATCTGGGATCATGACCTGAGCCACACAGGTGCCCCTATGACACCTACTTTATGTCATAGGGTGTAGAAATTTTAAATTTTAAATTTGTTCAAATGAAGTAAATAAATGCTTCTGATCTATTACATTTCTATGTTGACATTTAAAATTAGCAGTCCTGATATTTATGCAGTTTCTTTAAACATTTTTGTTAATTGGTTGGAGTGCTTGTATAAAAGTCATACCCAGCAGAAACATGGAGGATATTATTTAACACTCTGTAAAAATAATGTAGAAATAAAGAGGACAGAAGACGATCTGCTGCACATAGGAGTCTCCACCCTTTGTGTAATTGCAGGAGCATGTAGGGGACGTCCAAGTGTTGGGGGCATGGTCAGCATATGTGGAGCTGTCTGTGTGGGGAGTATCCCAGAATATGGAGAAGACATGGAGCATACTCATAGAATAATCGATCTCCCAAACCCTGTCAGGCATGGACTAAGCATTTGCAGTTTACTCTTTATGAAGTTCTACCCTTCTGGCTACAATTGTAACATGAGGCAGTCATTTCTTGGAAGTGTGTACTTTTTGTGAGTCTAACAACTGACATCTCTTTGGGACAGTTGCTGGACACCAGTAAGGTGATAGTTGAACACATACCCAGGTGTAGCATGACTAGGTTGGGAAATGCAGCTAGCCATGGGATACATCAATTCACTAGACCCTGGGCCAGGTCCAAGGTGACCAGAGAGGTTTCTGTCTAGTCTCTCAGAGACGTGTAATGATGGTCATGAAGGGATGGCATATTGGTTAGTCAGGAGTGACACCTGGCTCCAGAGTAAGACCTGGGCTTGAATTCCACATCCAACTCTTACTGTCTGCGTGGACATGAACAGGTCTTTTAAGGTCTCCCCACCATAATGTACTCAACTGAAAATCTGGAAATATATTACTACATACTAGGTTTTAGTAAGAATTGAATGGGTCCAAGCACAAATCTGGCAAAAATTAAAAACAATAGGTGTAGTTGTTATTTATATCTATCTCCATAAAACTGCCTGTTTTATCACTGTATGTTTGTAAATTTTTTTTCAAAGATTTTATTTATTTATTTGACAGACAGAAATCACAAGTAAGCAGAGAAGCAGGCAGAGAGAGAAGAGGAAGCAGACCTCCCGCTAAGCAGAGAGCCCGATATGGGGCCTGATCCCAGAACCCCGAGATCATGACCTGAGCCAAAGGCAGAGGCTTTAACCCACTGAGCCACTCAGGCACCCTGTTTGTAAATTTTTTAAAGGTTTTTATTTATTTATTTGACACAGAGAGAGAGCACAGGCAGGGGGAGTGGCAAGCAGAGTGAGAGGGAGAAGCAGGCTCCCTGCTCAACAGGGAGCATGATGTATGGATACAGGGCTCAATCCCAGGACCCTGGGATCATGACCTGAGCCAAAAGCAGATACTTAACAAACTAAGCCACCCAGATACCCCTGGATGTTTGTAATTTTAAAGCCAGATACAATTTTATGAAAAAAAATTTTCCAGCTGAACGTTAGTAATACTGAATAAAGTACATATTAAAAATCATGTTCAAGTCAAATTTTTGTAAAAATACCTATAAGTTTTATAGAGATAGAGACAGACATAGATATGGATATGCATATAAATGCATATTTGGACTTGGGTTAGACATAGATTTTTTTAAAGATTTTATTTATTTATTTGACAGAGAAATCACAAGTAGGCAGAGAAGCAGGCAGAGAGAGATGGGGAAGCAGGCTCCCCGCTGAGCAGAAAGCCCAATGCGAGACTCGATCCCAGGACCCTAAGACCATGACCTGAGCCGAAGGCAGAGGCTTTAACCCACTGAGCCACCCAGGAGCCCCATGCATACATATTTCACAATGCCTACAATTTAAATATTTTAAATTTTATAATTTCTTTGATCATTATATTTAATGATACATATATATGATATATATCATTTATTTTGTTGTTAGCTAGTTAGAACATAATAAACTGC